TTTCAATTAGCTGATTTTGTTTTCTTCTTGGTGCTCAAATTGTCATAATTGGGCTAGTGGGATTCTCTTGAAGTTGGTTACTTTATCTTGAGACATTGATCTCAAACATCCTTGCTTTCTAGCAACAACATCTTACAAACCCATTTTGAATGTTTTTTCCAGTCCAAAGACACAAGGCATCAGCCTCTCTCCTGGTTTCTTTTAATGGAAAAGAGTTGTAAAGTACAAAATCTGAATTGTTGAGCAGCGTATGAGTTTTGGTGCTGTTGTTAGGCCACACCACTGACAAAGCTGGAAAGATGTTTCCTGTCAAGTCCCTCATACACCATGCTGTAAATGAGACCGCCACATGAACTTTTTATACACCTGACTTTTCTAAAACATAATTATACCTAAAGGTGTTCATCTGGGCTGCAATTGAACCACCCTCCTGTTTCATCATTCTTACATGTTGACCTCACTGTTTATCAACCACATATCTGACACTATTCACTTTGGACCCCCTGCTCTTCAGCGTGCAGCACTGCTGTCTACCGTGGGCTATCCCTCTGCCAATAATATCCTTTCTGTTGGACCGCAAAGTCTTCCTGCTTCATGGTTTACTCCCTTATTTTGATGAAGCAAATTGTCCAGTCACTTTCTAAGACAGAATACATACATTTTGATTTTCTTGCATGTCTGAAATGTCTTTATTCCACCATTCCAGATGATTGACAGCTTGGCAGGGTCTAGAATGGGCTGCACATCATTTCCCCTCCAGCTTCTTGAGGCATCGCTTCATTGCTTCCCAGTCTTCAGCCCTGCCCTTGAGAAGTCTGATGACATTCTGACCCCAGTTCCATATCCGCACCCCCCACCCACCCCCGTTCTCACTCTTTGGAAGCTTATGAAATCTTATCCTTATCCCTGATATTCTGAAATGTCACAATAACTGTCCTTCTGATGGGTCCAGTTCATTCATTTTGCTGTGCACTTGGTGGGCCCTTGCAATCTAGCAATTCAAGAAAATTTCCCTTCCTCTCTGGGAAAAGTTTTTGAGGCACTTGTTAGTTTCCTCCCAACTGACTCTGTTCTCTTTTCTGTCCCTTCTGTTAGTCAGGCACTAGAGCTTCCGGACTGATCTCACTGGGCACTGCCCGAGCTTCTTGACGTTGCATCGGGCACAGAAACTGACGTTCGTACGGCACTTTGGAATGGGCAAGGCTGCCCGCTGCAGAGGCAGAAAGCTCTGCTCTGAGCTTCCCTCTTCCATTGTCCATCACAATGACATTTTGTTCCATTTTCTGGAAGACATTCATGACTTTATCTTCCATTCTCTCTACTGATTTTTTTCTAATTTCAGCTATTATATTTTCAATTTCCAAGGTCTTCTTGTTCTCTGCTGTTCCATCTTCACAGTCTTCCACTCCAGTTCCTTGGAGAACGTCAATTATAGTTTCATCAAGTTATCTTCTGCTCCCCACATCATCTCCCTTTCTTTGTGATCTCTTTGTTATTGTGGTTGGTGTTTGCTTTATTTTATTTAGGTCTCTCTTTCACACACAGGCTTCCCACAAATGCCTGACAATTCTTGGATGTCAGTCATGTTTAAGAGGAAAACACAAAACAATGCTGAAAATTCTGTTTCACTGCAGTGTGATCAAGGAGTCAGTAGCTTTTTTGTTGAAGAACCAGCAAATGGAGGAACCCTCTGGTCCAGCTGCTGGTGGTGTTCTGGAAACAGGCAGGGTAGGGGCTGGGGGGTTTCTATTGGATCCATAATCCCCTCATTTCAGCCAGTGCCTGGGAGTCCCTGAGTATGAGCATCAGATCTTGTAGGGGTGAGACCTGATCGTCTTCTGGGTGGCTGGGTAGGGCAGGGAGGGTGGTTGTCCGCTTGCCAGGGTCGGGGATGGCAGGTGGGGTCAAATCCATCTGTCAACACACTTTCCCCCAAGGCCCTGTTCTGTTGCCCTGCATTTCACCCATGCCTTTCCAGGTACTGGAGCCTCAGGTGTGGAGCCTGTCAGCTCCTTCCAGGCTGTTTCCCCTCCACAGGCACCCAGCCACCCCCTCTAGTCACTTTTCTCCCCTAAAAATCTCTGACATCTCCTGTCTACTCTCTGTCTCCTCTCTCATTTTCCCTGTCCTCGTGTTTTTAATGCTTTACAAGACTTCTTGACTCATTTTGGCAAAGTTTTATGAGAGAAAGGAGCTAAACAAACGGGGTCACAAATTTCAAACTATTTTTGTGAGCAGAGTAAAACAATATTTTAATGTTTAAGAGCCATTTCTTCAGTTATTACCCAGTTTCTTTTAATTGTGAAATAAATTCCCAAGCACTAAGTAACATTTATTAAAATTCGTTTGTCATGAAATGTGAATTTGAAAATAATCTGCCACTACTACATAATCATAAAACAATTTTCATTATCACTTTGCAATAATATATAAATTCTTAATAATCAATCATGAAAAGATTAAAGAGATCTTAATCCTAAAAAAGAAAAATAAACCCAAATTTAAACAGTTTCCCACTTACTAAGATATACCAAATATCAAAAAAATTATAAACAATCTAATGAGAATTTATATTGAGAGATTTCTCTCATCTATTCAATGAACATACCAGTGATAAGGATGCATATTTCACAGGAGAGCACATTGCAAACTCAGCACCTATCAGTGGCTTTCCACATCCCTACTTCTTTAGCTTCAGTAAGATAGCCAAAATGTCCTTCATACACACACACGCACACACAGATATGTGAAAAACTCATTATATATTTCAAATTTACTGCTTTAATAACAGTGTACCTTTTAAAAACAAAAATATTTAATTACAAACATAAACATTGACTATTAAGGTTTCCATGATCAATTTTAAATGTGTATGTGCGGGTATATATGGAAAACAAGTCTAACAAATCTATCCTAGCACCATATTTTTCCCTGCAGTATTACCAGTAACTTTGAGCAGTTAATGTTCATAATTGATTTTATTCAACTGATCAAGTCTTAATAATTTTTTAAGGTGTCACTACTTAATTGTGCTTCTTGCCTTCTTGGATTAAGGATGCCTTAATTTCATACAGAATTTAATCATTTAAAGATTGGTTTAATGGAGACTTGGCTCCTGCTTTTCTTTCTCTTTGTTTTCTGATGTAGCGTGTGTGTGTGTGTGTGTGTGTGTGTGTGTGTGTAATTTCTCTGAGCAACAGTTGTCTAATATGTAAACAGGATGATTCTCTCTGTAAGTTTACAGTGAGGATTAAATAAACTAATGCCTGGCACACTGCATATTCAGTAAATGGTGGGTAGAATTACACATTATTTTATTTCTTCTCATGTCTAGACCTAATCTCAGGTCCAACAAGCTTGGAAATCTAAGGTGTGTGGTCTTCCCCGGGATCTTATACGCTTGGTGTGAAGTAGGTGACAGAAAAGAATGGTGATTCCATTCATTCTAATTTCACTCTACTGTTACCGGTTCGAGTTAACTGCAATATGCTGAATTGTAATAAAAGGCCTTGGATTGGAATTGGCCTTATCTAATTTTAAATACTGAGTTTAAGTGGCCACGTATGCCTAAAATTGCACCCTTTCTCTGTGATAGCATAAAGTGAAGGATGCAATTACTCAGGAGCAGTCCTGAAATACTAGGACACACTCCTAATACTGATAACAGCAGTCATTCACGCTACTCTAATCACAGGGCACACTGCATGGCCCCTGCAATACAGTGCTGCAGGACCTGAACCCAAAGGTTACTTTCCCATCGCATCTCACCACAGCAGTGCTAAACCACAGCCAGGAGGAAGCAGCAGGCGGCCTCGGTCATATTCCTGTGGTCAGGTACAACTGGGCTCTGGAAGCAAAAGTGCCAACACGACCCAGCTTCCCCTAGCACCTGAGTATTTCTGGCAGCATATGAATATTAACTTTCCATGCTTCTCTTTTTCCAAAACCGAGCTTTATGGCGAAAAAAGGGAAGAAAGTAACTTAAGTGCCAATTTCATCTAGCACGCAAACCCCATGTATGATTAAAATTTCCCCCGTGTCCTCTTAGCCCTGAAGATATCAAATCTTGTAATATTTTGCCTAAGTTTAAAAAAACAAAAACAGAGAAATAACAAGATCTGGAATGGTCCTCGCGATTATCTTCACAGGCCTGAGGGACCTCGAGGTGCTGTGGAATTAGCCAACCTCCCGAGCGCGCCACACCCGGAGGGCAGGAACCAACGCGCACGTTCAGTGCAAAGGCGCCGGCTTCAACACTGACCCCTCGGCTCCCCTCCGGCCTCCAGCCCTCCAGGGTTCCCAACGCCCGGCGTCCAGCGGCGCGCGCCTGCGGCCTCTCGGCCCGCGGCGGGCCGGTCACCCCTAGCCGCGGGGGTCACCTGTGGCCTAGGGGCCGGGAGCAGCAGCCCCGGAGGCTCGGGGCCGCCCCCATGCCGGCGCGGGGCTGCGCGTCCCGGGTGCGGGCGATCCTCCGCGTCACCGGCCGGGCTGGCGGCCATGCACAACTCACCGGGCGTCGTCACGTGCGGCAGCCGCTGAGCTCCGGGAACCCGAGCCGAACGCCCTCCCCCACAGCCCCGCCCCGCCCTCCGTCCGGCCCCCTCCCCGGCGCTCTCCTGGCCCTGGAGCGGCGGGCCGACCCCTGCGGCCGGAGCGGGTCCCAGCGGAGACGCGTACCCCAGAGCGTGGCGCCGCGGCCGCGAGCGAGCGGAGCGGCGGGCAGGAGGCGTCGGAGCCGCTGCAGGCCTCAAACACCGGCCTGGCCGGCGGGGTCGGGAGGCGGGCCGAGTCCAGGGAAGCCAACCAGCGCGCCGCTGGCCCCGAGCCCGGGGCGGCCCTCCGCAGTCGAGGGCGGAGAGGAGGACAATGGAGAAAGGTTACAGGTGTGCGCTGGATACTCCGCTGCACCTTGACTGCAGCCCGGAGCCGGCGATCCGCGGGGTCCGGACCGGCTCCCCCTGCGGGAGGGGCCGCGCGTCTTTTCTAGTCCTAGTTGTGACCTCGTCCGTTGAACCACCAGGTTGGTGAATCCAACGAAGGCCTGACTGTCTGGAGGTTTTCAGTCCGGGGGCGACAGTGCGCGACCCCACCTGCGCGTTACTGTGTCTTTGTAGAGACTGTGAATTATGTCCTCAAGATCAGAAAAGTGCCAGCTGGTGGTACATGAGGTTAAGTTGGACAGTGCAGAACAGGAATTTAAAATGGACAAAGCCTACGATCGCCTGTGTTCAAAGACTCCAGTACTGTTCTGGCTCGTGTGAATAAGACTGCAGAGTAGGGACACATTATACAAATACCTATGAAATACCTGTCTGGCATCTCGGAGCAGTCTTGGAGAAACAGAAATCTGTTTCTGAGATGGGGAAAAAGCTAGCCAGTTTTTAAAAATGAGTTCAGTTTTAGTGAGCTGTTTAGTGCCTCCTCAATCCTTACCTTGAGTCAGGGGTTCTCAGCATGGACACTATCTGAGCCAGATAGTTCTTTTTTGTGGGAGGGCTGTCCTGGCGCTATAAAATGTTTAACAGTGTGAAAATTAGTAAAGGGAAACTTCATTTAAAATAGAGTCAGGAGGTCAGAAAAGGGAGCTCCCACACAGTACCACTGCAGGTCAGTTACAGGAAAGATGGTCAATTACAGACCCCAACAGAAGTCGTCAATAGGAAAGAATCCTCAATTACAAGAAGAAATGTATATTGCGTCCCAAACAGAAAAGACTGCCCCAGCAATCAGCAGATGAGAAACCATCACTACCCTGGACTCTTGCTTTTCTCCAATGAACTTTCCTTCAAAACAACCCAATTTGCCCCTTTTGCCCCCATGAGTTCCTCTCCTTTGATTATTGAATTTGCTTATGGTCCGCAATAGCAGGCACATTGAATAGATGATCATGTGAATTTTATTCTTCATTTTATTAATGTGGTATATCACATTGATTTGCGGATGTTGAACCATCTCTGCATCCTTGGAATGAATCCCACCTGATCATGGTGTATAATCTTTTTAATGTATTGTTGTACGCGATTTGCTAGTATTTTGTTGACGATATTTGCATCAATGTTCATCAGTGATATTGGCCTGTAATACTCTTTTTTTGTGTTGTCCTTGTCTGGTTTTGGTATCAGGGTGATGTTGGCTTTGTAGAATGAGTTAGGGAGCTTCCTCTCCTCCTCAATTTTTTGGAAGAGTTTGAGAAGGATAGGTATTAAGTCTTCTTTGAATGTTTGGTAGAATTCACCAGGGAAGCTGTCTGGTCCTGGACTTTTATTTGGGGGAAGTTTTGGATTACTGTTTCGATCTCCTTAGTGGTGTTTGGTCTATTCAAATTCTCTACTTCCTCTCGATTCAGTTTCTGAAGGTTGTATGATTCTAAGAATTTGTCCATTTCTTCTAGATTATCAAATTTGTTGGCATATAGCTTTTCATAGTACTCTCATAATCTTTTGTATTTCTGAGATGTCTGTGGTAATTTCTCCTCTTTCATTTCTGATTTTATTTATTTGAGTCTTCTCTGTTTTTTTCTTGGTGAGTCTAGCTAAAGGTTTGTCAATTTTGTTTATCTTTACAAAGAACCAGCTCTTGGTTTTATTAATTTTTTCTATTTTTTTTAGTCTCTATTTCATTTATTTCTACTCTGATTTTTATTACTTCCCTTCTTCTACTGATTTAGGGCTTTTTTTGTTCTTCTTTTTCCAGTTCCTTTAGGTGCACTATTAGATTGTTTACTTGAGATTTTTCTTGTTTGTTGAGATAGGCCTGCATTGCTATAAACTTCCCTCTTGGAACCACTTTTGCTGTATCCCATAAATTCTGGCATGTCGTATTTTCATTTTCATTTGTCTCCAGGTATTTTTTGATTTCTCCTTTGATTTCTTCGTTGACCCAATCGTTGTTCAGTAGCATTTTGTTTAATCTCCACATATTTGTGGCTTTTCTGTTTTTCTTCCTGTAGTTGATTTCTGGTTTCATACCGTTGTGGTCAGAAAAGATGCTTGGTATCATTTTAATCTTCTTGAATTTATGTAGACTTATTTTGTGGCCTAATATGTGATCAATTCTGGAGAATGTTCCGTGTGCATTTGAAAAGAATGTGTTTTCTTTGGTTTTTGGATGGAATATTCTGTATATATCTACTAGGTCCATCTGTTCTAGTCTGTCATTTAAGGCCAATGTTTCCTTACTGATCTTCTGTTTGGATGATCTATCCATTGGTGTAAGTGGAGTGTTAAAGTGTCCTACTATTATTGTGTTACTGTCTATTTCTGTTTTTATGTCTGTTAATAATTGCTTTATATATTTAGGTGATCCTACATTGGGTGCATAGATATTTACAAGTGTTATATCCTCTTGTTGGATTGTTCCCTTGATCATTATGTAATGCCCTTCTTTGTCTCTTTTTACAGGTTTTGTTTTAAAGTCTATTTTATCTGATATGAGTATTGCTACCCCAGCTTTCTTTTCATTGCCATTTGCGTAGAGTATCTTTTTCTATCCCTTCACTTTCAGTTTGTGAGTGTCTTTAGGTCTGAAGTGTGTCTCTTGTATGCAGCATATATATGGATCTTGTTTTTTCATCCAGTCAGCCACCCTATGCCTTTTAATTGGAGCATTTAGTCCATTGACGTTTAAAGTTGCTATTGATAAGTATGTACTTACTGCCACTTTTTAACTTTTTTTTTTCCCTCGGTGTTTTAGTAGTTCTTCTCTGTTCGTTTCTTCTTCTCTTGCTCTCTTCCCTTGTGGTTTGATGGCTTTCTTTAATATTATGTTTGTGTTCCTTTCTCTTAGTTTTTTGTGTATTTATTATAGGTTTCTGGTTTGTGATTACCATGGGGTTCATATACCTATGTATATGAATGTATACAAACGTAACCTATGTATATAGCAATCTATATTAAGTTGATGGCCTCTTTAGTTTGACCTCTATCTGAAAGCTCTACTCTTTAACTCCCCTCCTCCCACATTTTATGTTTTGGATATCATATCTAACCTCTTTTTTGTGCATTTGTATCTGTTACCCCTTATCATGGAAATAGATAACTTTTCCTTTTTGTGGTCTTCTCTTTTCCCCTTAAATCAGTCCCTTTGGCATGTCTTGTAGAACTGGTTTCTTGGTGAAAAACTCCTTTAATTTTTGCTTGTCTGGGAAATTTTTGATCTCTCCTTCCATTTTGAATGATAACCTTGCTGGGTAGAGTATTCTTGCATGTAGGTTTTTTCCTTTTAGCACTTTAAATATATCATGCCACTCTCTTCTAGCCTGTAAGGTTTCTGCTGAGAAGTCAACTAATAGCCTTATGGGGTTTGCTTTGTATGTAACTTGTCTTTCTCTTGCAGCTTTTAGGATTATCTCTTTATCTTTAATTCTGGACATTTTAATTATGATGTGTCTTGGTATGGGCTTCTTTGGGTTTATCTTGTTTGGTGCTGTCTGTGCTTCCTGTACCTGGATGTCTGTTTCCTTCCTTAGGTTAGAGAAGTTTTCATCTATTATTTCTTCAAATAGATTCTCTGCCCCTTTGTCTCGCTCTTCTCCTTCCGGGACACCTATAACACGGATGTTAGTGTGCTTGATGTTGTCCCAGAGGTCCCTTAGACTGTCCTCACTCTTTTTAATTCTTTTCTCTTTTACCTGTTCACCTTGGGTAATTTCTTCTAGTCTTTCATCCAGCTCACAGATCCGTTCTTCTGTATCCTCTACTCTGCTTTTGAGTCCCTCTAGTGAATTTTTCATTTCCAGTATTGTATTCTTCATTTCTGATTGGTTCATTTTTATATCTTCCATTTCTTTGTTGACATTCTCACTGAGTTCATCCATTCTTCTCTCAAGATCAGTGAGCATCCTTAACACTCTTTGTTTGAACTCTCTGTTGGGTAGGTTGATTATTTCTGTTTCATTTAGTTCCTTTCCTGGGGTTTTGTCCTGTTCCTTTACTTGGAACATATTCCTTTGCCTCCTCATTTTGCCTCTTTCCCTGTGCTTGTGTCTAAGTATTGGGTAGGTCAGTTACATCTGCTCTTGGATAGGTGACCTTATGTAAGTGATGCCTTAGGAGGCCGAATAGTGTGCTTCCCTCTCCTCTCCAGTTCCAAATGTTCCAGGAGGGACCCCTGTGTGGGCTACGTGTGTCCTGTTGTGGCAGGTTTGCTCTTCCCATAGTTGCCCAGGGAGGCTGAGCTGTCCCCCTGTCCAGCTCATTGTAATGCTGAGCTAAGTGTAGTTGTTGTGGGCCCTTTAGTCTCTTTTTCGGGTGTGGGGAGCCCCAGCACAGTTTGCTGCAAGGTCTAGTAGCACATTCCTGTTGCAGTTTTTCTATTAAGTGAGTAGGCCCCCAGCATGGCTGGTTGTTAGGCTCAGGGGCTTACAATTGCTGTAGGCCTCCAGCCTATAAGGCTCTTGTCAGCTCTCTGAGGATTGCAGCTGGGTGGGGCTGGCCTCAGGCATGGAAGCACCCAGTTGTTTCAGGCTTTGGAAGGTGGGGCAAACCCCCTATGTGGGTCTTTGAGAAGCACAAGTCTTCTGCAGCTGACCAGCCCTGCTGCCCACAAGTCCACACACACAGTCAACACAGTCCTGCCCCGTGTGTGTGCCCTGACCCCTGAAGTGGACCCAGCCTCTCCAAGGCAGGACCCCCACACACTCCACCAATGCCCCACATACTCCACCTGCTCCTTGTGCGTGCCCTGCCCCACAGAGTTGGACCCAGTCGCCAGGCTGTAGAGAATCCAGTCACTAAGCTATGCAGGCCCACAAGTTGCCTGAGGGTTTGTTGTTGGGTGGGGCCAGTCCCTAGGGTGGGCTGCCTGCCCTGGCTGAGCTGGATTAAATCTGTGCTCTAGTGGGTGAGGCAGAGCCTGGGCTAGCAGGCCACAAGGAGAACTACAATGGCATCTGCCAGCATCCGTGTCAGCACACCCACACCAGCTGACAGCAACGGCCACCACCAATGTCCCAGTCTCTAGAGAGGTCTCATCTCTCACCAAGATGCACTCACAGCCTATCAGGTGAGTCTCTTTTCACCAAAGGACTGTGC